AAACGATCTGTGTCCCTTCCCCCCCCCATGAATGTGCCAAACCAGCCTCTAGGACATGGATGGATGTCTCATGAGGACTTACGAGCTAGAGGACCCCAGTGCGTCCCATCCGATCATGCCCCCCTGTCTCCACAAAGCAGTGTAGCCTCTTCGGGAAGTGGTGGGAGTGAACACTTAGAAGATCAGCCTTCTGCTCGTAACACATTCCAGGAAGAAGGGAGTGGTATGAAAGGTGAGTGCAAATGAGACCCTCTCCCTCCCCTCTGCAGAAATAGGCTTCGCCCCAACTAGACGCCCTTGCATTGGGATGGGAGAAGGCAGGAAAGAGAGAGAGAGAGAGAGATGTCCCTCCGATGCCAGCTTTTTTTCCTTGTCATTGAGAATCCCTCTCCAAACAGGCTTACGAACTCTCTGTGCTGGTGCTGTTAATGCTTTAATCCCAGGTCTTGTTTCAGCTTTAGTTTCAGGCTAATCCAGCGGGTTGCCAACAACACAGTAGAGCCGAGTGTAACACGGGGGCTTTCTTTGGACACCGCCTGTCCTCTTGAATCAGCGCTGATGAGGTGGCACGTTCCAGCTCTGTTATGATAGCCCGGGATGCTGCCTTACCGCAGTGCCTTTCAAACCTGCAGGTGCTCTGGCCTCAGCTCCAACTGGCCTCTCTCCTGGGCTTTTCCCTATTGCACAAAGCTGCCTGGGATCAGCCTAGGCAAACGTATGCAATTCATCACTTGTGTGTTCTCTGTGCTGAGCATCCCATCAGGTACCTGATGATGTTGTAGCTTGGAAAGGATGTGCGCTTGCGCTAAACGTCTCCTGTGTGCTCTGGTGAAGTAGTCCGTGGTGCCTGTGTTTTTAGAGAGGTGGTTGGCAATGAAGGTGAATATTCTTATTAGCCACAGATGCAGAATTTGGAGCAAGCCATGAAGCACTGATCCTGCCACCAGATTGGATCAGTGCCTTCACAGCCATGGGGCAAGGTCAGGCCCTTTTTAAGAGGAATATAGTTAGCTGTAGATTGTACGATTATAAATTATGCAAAGTTGTTACCTAGACAGAATGATAACGTATGAAACCCCAAGCTATTTTAGGTGGCACAGCTATAAAAGTAACTTTATACACACACACGCATGCACGCATGCATGCACGCACACACATGCACGCACACCCATCTGCAGAACTGAAACCACTACAAAAAAGTAAGCTTCCCGCTAATCAAAATTGACACTCACCTGCCGGGACCAGCAACAGAAAATGGTTCATGATAGAAGTAATATTATACAGTTATGTTGAACTCAGTAGGGCATTGCTTTTCACGCACACTGTCTTGTGTGCACGCGCGTGTGTTTGTGCATGGTATGGATTGGCAAAGGACTGTTAGTGGCCTCTGCGCGCTTGTTTGCCTTCAGAATAAAGCAAAGGTAACCCCTAGTTAGGGTCAGCAATCTGTGCAATTGGGTATTTTATAGGTGCGCCAACAAAAGGCTTTCGTTCCGTGTTGCTCTGTCTGTTCACAGCACGATAAAGATAATTCACCTAGAGAGCGCTTCCTTGCTGGGTCCAGGAGAGCACTGATTGCAGCATGATTTTGTAGGCAGGTCCTGGCCCTTCCCTGTGCCTCTTGTTCCCGTGCTATCCTTTATCTGTCCTTTGAAGCAAGAACATGTCTGCAGCCTTGTCTATACAAGAGCTTTACTGCTACATCTCCTGGTGGGGACAAGCCTTTTCCGTGTGGTTTTGTCAGCTAGGACAGCCCAGGGCTGCTGGAGTGTGAGTGCTGGCAGTGAAAGCCCATGGGACGTACCCAGGAGACCTGGTCCCCAAGGTGGTTGAGCACCTGGCACAGATTAAAAGCAACCTGCAGCTGGTTTGTGTCAGGAGCTGGCCTGGCCCCAGCCCCAGCTTGGCCCAAACCTCCCTCCCTCTTGCTTCTCCAGATGTATTTGGTTCTGTGGTATTTATCCAAAGTGACCGGGGGCACCCAGGCTTCTGCCGGTCTCCAGTAGGTTGTGCCAATCTCCTGTCAGGCCTAAAAAGGGCACCATTAGCAATGTCAGGACAATTCAGAAGCAAACATGAACAGATTCTCCCTGTGTCTGCATCTGGGGATAGGTTCTGCTACCCCTGAAGCCATGGGGGTGCTTTTTGCAAAAGGAAGAAACACTACGGGGACCTGCTTAGCATTACTTCACTCCAGTTGCACGCTGGGCTGGTATGGGGACAAAAAACGGGGAATTGGGGCTGGTGGCAGTAAGGGTTGCAGGGCTGGACCCCCCCAGATCTGTTGGCTTCCCACTCCCGTACAGCATATCTCCAGCTGGAGATGCATCACTGCCGGGTCTTCGCAGCTTCCCCCTGAGCATTTTCCCCGTGGCTTGGGAATGAAAGATGGATTCAGCGCAGCACCTGAAGGCATCTGAGACTCCGTGGGCAGCTGTTCATTAAACAAACCCCGCGTCCCCTGCTGGGCCTGCCCACCCAGCCGCAGGACAGCGTGATCACAGCGCCAGCTCGTAGGCCTGCGCTAGCTGAGATGCCGCTGTCGCCCAGGCTGCTGCGGGGAGACGTGGCAGCCTGGATTCAAACACATGCTAGCAAGCGGAGTGCAGACTCCTGGCGCCTACGGGGGTGGCCTGGCATGGCTGGCACTCCTGCTGCCGTGTCTTTGCTGCCTGGCTGGATGCACATGGCCCACTCTGGGAGCCTGGCATGTGCTGCAGTCGCCCGTGTCCTGTGCCCATAGCCAAGTGCTGGAACAGCTTCCACATGCATCAATCCCTGCTGATGCACTTAGCTTCCCCCAGACCCAGCCACTTCCTTCCTCACACTTTGCAAGCTACAGGTGGCAGAAATGCCTCCTCTACCTGGTGGTGCGCCATGAGCGAGCCCTTTGCACTGCCTCCCCTCCACTGGGAACAGGAATACCCGTTTCCAACCCATTTGTTTGTCAGCTGATCCCAGCTTCAGGTGCTTATGGTTTTTAAATTCTTCTTCTGTTACTACTAGTAAATGCCCCTTGGAAAGGAGCGAGTCCCTTTTGGAAAGTATTGGGCTGTATTAGAGCGTGAAGGGGTTTAGGTACAAGTGTGCACAGCATATGCCTGCAGGCTAAGGGACGTGACTTATGACCTCTCTCTCCCCACCCAGCCGCAGAATTATTATCATATTTTCTGGCGTACAACAGGCCCCTGGATGAGATACGTATGTGGTGTTTGAAAGAATGAAGGAAAAGATATTTCTTTGAAAATACTGGTCAGCAGCAGTAAGTCACTGAACAGCAGCTTCTCCAGCTCCGAAAGCATCCACGGCCGCAGCTAGAGAGCCCCCACGGACCCTGCAGCAGCGCTGTCCCTTTTCCCTGGTGGAGGCAGAAGCAGCTCTTACCCTATTTCCTCACTTACAATGCGCACCCAATTTCCAGCAGCTGAATCTGGAGGGAAAGGTGCATGTTGTGTGGGGGACAATACGGTATTGGATAATTGTTTAGCACCAAGAAGTGCTTGGTGCTGGGGTATGATCACTCTTGTCCCAGAGAGCTTCTGAAGAGAAACCAGGTTAAGATGAGGAAAGGGATTGCCCCCTTCCCCGTTTTTTTCCCCAAGTAACGTCTGTGAGTTAACAAGTGCCAGCCCTGCCTGGGCCTTCAGGGCTCCTCGTTTCCCTGCCCTGTTTACCAACCTGCAAGGGTCTGTTGTGTGGTTCAGCTCTGATGCTCAGGTCCCTTCATTTCACACCAAACATGCCCTTCGGGCTCCTTCCCATTTGCAGCTTGCTGTTCCCCACAGATCCGAGTGGGGCAAGACATCCCGTTTCCAAGGTGTATCAGTTCCCTTGCCTTCAGAGCCGCCTGCCCTGAGAGGTGGGGCCACACCAGTCATCGTGTTGATGGGGAGCAGATGCATCCGTTACTTGCCCCCGATAATCTGCTCTGCCTCCTATCTTCCTTGGTCTCCTCCGGACTCAGTGTGCAAGCTGTGGCAGGGCAGCCAGGCACGGTCATGCACCCCAGGGACGGTCAGAAGTGGGCGCTGAAAAGAGAAATCAAGATTCTGAGTTAAATGCCTGCATTTGGATCCGTTGTCCTTTAGGCAAGACCCTGCACAGATGCAAGCAGCCTTCTCCCTCCTTCGCCGCCTTCTCACCTGACCCATCCTGCATCCTTGCAGGGCGCCATTTGGCCAGGCTGGCAACAGGACATCGAACCCTGCAGCTTTAGAAACCTCAAGCAGATTAGCAGGGAGAAGTCAGCAGCGCTGCATGAGCCAGGCCTGTTATTCTCCAAAGGCACTTGTTGCCTGTCTCCTTTCCTCTAGCTGCGCTTCTGTGCGACAGCTTGGCTTGCACAAGCAGCAGCCCTGACCCCCACAAGCAGCCGTGAGGCTGGTGGAGATGTCCCCACTAGTAAGAGCTTCCCTGTGGGAGCCAGGAGAGCGGGGTTGGGCCTGAGGGCATTGCACACTTCAGAGACAGCCAATGCCCCTCCAAGGAGAAGGGGCAATACCCAGTGAGCGGCTCTGATGTGGGGAAGAGGCAGCACTGTGAAGCACCGGCAACCAGGAGCAAAGCTCTCAGCTGCCGTGCGAGCTCCCTCATCCCGTCCCCTGCTATAACGAGTGCCGCCCCAGCATGGACCTGGCCTGCTGTTCAAGGAAGGCAGGCCGTGCTCTATGCTTTGGACCGAATGCAGCTCTGAAATGGGGGCCAGCTCTCCTGAATCACTTTAATATATCTTAGCATGGCCAGAGAGTCCAGAGGAGTGAGCAGCATAAAGCAACCGCTAAAGGGCTTGCTTTCCCTTCTGATCCATCTCCGGTTGGATCTTATCCTGTCACCCTTGGCTGGATATGTCCGCACAGGGCCGGCAGGGTGCTTGGTGTCACTCCTGCCCATGAGGAGCAAGCTAGGGCACCTGCTTGGCCCCGTCACTGCCCCATTTCTGGAGTGGGCAGGCGTGGGTGAGCAGGGCTTATGCCCTCAGCCCCAAGCCACAGCACGGTGCTGCCAGCCGTCGAGCCAGCGCATGTGATGCCAGCAGGAGCAGAGAGGTCCTAGGGCAGTGGTTTTCAGTCTTGTGGGGTTTGCAGCCCACCTCATTAGACTTCAGACCCCCTTGGAAAATGCCAGGTCTTGGCTTTCACTTTGACTACAGAAAAATATGAGAGCAATTCTTCTGGTCCAAAGACTACAGCAGATTTTTAACACTCTGGATTCCTATCTGACATGTCTGGGTTT